GACTATGGAAAGTGTTCATGGGGTCCAACCGTTTACCAGGATTCGAACTCCGGAACGAGCTACCAGAGTTGAGCGATTTTATCGCTCGGCTGCTGGTGGACGCCTGCTGTCAGAGGCAGTGACCTTATTCAACTGTCTAATTAATTTATGCCTTTTGTATTGCAAATTAGTTAGTGTTCTAAAAGGTGAAAACATGTTATTACTGTATAATAATACTATCGAGCACTTAACATTTTCACAAGTAGATCCAATAGCATGCTATGATATTGCATTAATATTTAATATTTATTTGAAAATTGAAATGAATAAATAGAACAGGCACCCTGCGTATTTTCTCTTTCGAGCAGTAACATATATACACAAATATAATCTTCGAACCCTGAATAGTAGTTAAATTCCTTCAAAGCTTGTTTAATACCTAGTTGTAATTAAACACATTTTGATCAATAGCTCAGATTTTAATAACTTCTCAGATTAAAATATGATTACACTTACAAAGTATTTAGAGAATTACTCTTATCGTAATGGAGAAACGTTTATAAATTAAATGAACTTTATAATTGTGTTTTCATCACTTCGAGTAATATAAAATATTATTTTACGTCTCTTATTTTTAGCATAAAAATATCTCACTTTCATTTTTTTTTAAATCAAAACTGGAGTGGTAACGTGAAAGAAGTTTCGTGATTCAGTTCTGACGTTACGACTTCATTGTGATTTATTCATATTTTAGTACAAAGCACGAGAACTATTGTGATACATTCATAATTTTTCAAGTGTTTCTACTGTATGTAATCTGTACCGTATGTAATCTGAGCCCCAAAAGCATTTTCTATTGTCGAGTACATTGTTTGTCATAGCACGGAAACTGGACCTGAGACCACTTATACTCATGTCCATAAATTAAGGATAATGCAAAATCAGGCAAAGGAAGAGTTAGAAGCAAAACAAATTTGACTTATTTGTAAAGCTTATTTATTAAACAAAAGGTAAAGAGCAAAGAAAAGATGCTATATGTTTGATATTATTAAAAAAATTAGCGATTTTTTCTCCCTGGACCAAATTAAAAAAAAACCTATTTACAAAAAACCAATATTACATGGTTGGTATGATTGTTAATACATTGTATGTCTCCCAGACGATGCAATACGGTCCGTACAACGCCTAGGCATGCTGAGTATCAAATCTGATCTTGGGGGATATTACACCACTCAAAAAGCAATGCTCTCAGAAGTTCCGGTAGACATGTAGGAGGAGGTTAACGGGCTGCAACTCGACGGCCAAGCATGTCCCACACGTGCTCTACTGGATTCAAGTCCGGTGAGAATGCTGGCTAGTTTATACGGGTGATATCCTCCGATTGAAGGCATTCGCTTACGATGTTTGCACTGTGAGGACGGGCGTTGTCATCCATAAACACAAATTGTGAGCCCATGGCGCCCTGAAACAAACGTACATGTTGTTCCAGAATGATGTTCTGATAGATTTGGCTTGTCATGGTTCCAATTTGAACATGCGGATCAGTTCTGGAACCCAGAATAATTCCACCCCAAACGAGCACTCCTGCACCACCGTAACGGTGTCGTTCAATGATATTTTCTTGGTGGTAACGGGTACCTGGAGCTCTCCGTATGAAAGTCCGGCGAGAATCAGACTGCGAGCTAAACCTGGACTCGTCGGAAAACATCACACAAGCCCACTGTTGCGGTGTCCATAATGCATGCTCTCTACTCCAACTAACCGCAGGCGACAGTGAGTTGCAGTAAGTGGAACGCATCTGACAGGTCTACGAGCATATAGACCAATCTGCCCTAAGCGTCTGTACACGGTCTGCCTTGAAATTGTCGTACCAGTGGCTGAAGAGAGCTGACGAGACAGGTCTGAGGCTGTGCTCCGCCTGTTTCTTTTGGCAGTAACTGCCAAATACCGGTTCTCATTCGGCGTTGTAACTCTGGGGCGACCTGTGCTGTAACGTCTACTCACATTACCATCATCTTGTAATCGTTGCCAAAGCCTGGATATGACACTCTGGGCAATTCCAAGTTCGTCTGATACTTCCGGTTGGGTACGCTCACATTCCAGACGGCCGATAATTCTAGCACGTAAAAAATCATCCACATGCGTCCTTTGTGTCATAACTATTCGGTTATTGCACTCAAATGCTTATAAAGCGCCTGCGAACAATTTTACTTCTTTGCCTATATTCCTTATATATCACTCTCTTACACTCTCGTCATTGTGACGTACCATGGGTGTCATCTGGTTACTTCCTGAAATTTGCATATGATTCTTGAAGATGTGTGTAGTGATTTTACAGGTGATATATTTATTTTAGAGTTCGTTTTCCGCGGGACTCCGAGTTATCCTTAATTTATGGACATGAGTGTAGTTTGTTGATAATTGCTATAATACTGAATTATTAAGGTGATCTCCATCTTTCCTTAACATAACATCACACTAGTGGCCGAGTGATTATGACCGCTGAGTTCTGGAAGTTTGACCTGGTTTGGATTAGAGCTAAGGCGAACGAACTGGCAGCATGGCTGAATTTCGTAGTCTTTCCCATGTGCAACATGAATATGAGTCTTATAAACGTCTTCCATGTAGGCATCATTCTTCATGGGCAGAAAGCCTTAGTGGCTTTGCCATGCTGGAAAAATCTAACTTTAATTTTGTTTAAATAACATATGGCTATTAAAAGATCCTAATATCTGTTGTTCCCTAAGGCCAGTAGGCAAAGCAAATAATTATTACATTCTATAAGCTTAAAAATTTATCAAAAAAAACTATTATTTGTAAAATCCGAATATATGTAAGATAAAGAAGCTGTAAAATAAAATTCTTATCTTAATTTGTTAGATCCTCTTAAATATTCTATATAATCTAGTTTTCAAAATTAATGCCTGTTATATAAGTCTTATATAACGGCAAATGTAAAACTGAAGTTTTTATCTAAACCTAATGATAAATTTACAAACTAAAACTTTTAACTGGCTAATTAAAGTAAAATTAAAATGAAACTACAGCTTTACTATTTTTAAAATCTAGTACCACTGTCGTAATATGTGCAATTTGCCCTCGTTTGTCTTTGTGCTGCTAGTGACCTGTCCGCCTTTTCTTCTTTCGCCAATGCTGTCAATATGTGAAACCTGCGCATATAGTGTTTTAATGTTTTTAGTCTATGAATGATGCCTAAAATAGAGATAATAGAAGTCAAGTGGCCGTGATTGCATCTAATTAATAAAGCATCGCCATCTACAAAAGATACAAAAGTTTGATTATGTATTCAAGAATTATTATTATTTTATTTTGTAATTTCATTTCATGCGTATATACACCGTGATAGCTAGGGATTATCCAGTCTCATTTTCGCAACCTTTGGTCGTAGACATATATTTCCGATTGCAAAAATGTTTTAAATGACGTAAAGACTCTTTTCTTACTTAAAATTTAAAAACATTATTTTTTTATAAAATGTGAAATATAACGCTGTACACATTTCTCTGGTCCTTACACTTACATTAAAAAACTTTATACTCCTTATAAAAATAACACACAAAACATTTGGCTTCCGCACGACAAAAATTAACTGAGATATCTTATATTAAAATCGAGAATCATATTCAGGGGCCGTACACGAAAAGAGGAGAGAAACATTTGCGTTTGTAGACTAAAACCAAGATATTTTTTAGAAAAAAAAAGTTAAGAGGTTACGTTGCAAGCATTTCAATACAGATTATTGTGAAAAGTATTGATCAATGCACTTTTTTTTTTTTTTCAAAACGGAAATAATTTTTCGCAGAATCTTATAGAATGCGTGTTCTAGAAGACACTGGCGGTATGGGCACGTAGCAAACTCGTAATATTAGTTGCATTAATTAAAAAAGAGAACTATGCTTTAATGCATTTTTTGCACGGTTATTACATTGGAATTCTAAAGCAATAAAATTAAATAAGAATATTAGTAACGCATTTTTAGACTAAATTATTTCTATGAAAACTCTTTCGGTATACCAAATGCAATAAAATTATAAATTAAAGACACTTGTGAGTCACAAAACAGTGTCACTGAATGGTATTTAAGGTTGAAGTGCAAACTGAGTATGAAGTAAAAAACTTCTGATTTTGGAATTAAATAGTCACTCAATTTTTGTCGCACACGAGTCAAACCTTTTGTGTTTAATTTTTTATAGCGCATATAAAGTAATCCTATATATAAAAGGAACCAAAAGAATGTATAAAATGTTACATTTCGTAATAGTTACGAGTCAAAACATGAATCTAGGAACCGTTCAAAACATTTTTGGACATATAAAATACATGAATACGACCAACGGTTGCGAAATAAGGGCCGAGTAAGGACTTTTATAGACACGGTGTATATATAAATTCTGCATGCATGAACAAATATGCAATAATTATGTATAAGCAATTATGCTCTTTAAGTATTCGTCACCATTTCGTTCCCACGAAATAAATTAAAAATATAAACTGTGAATGAATTTTACGCTTTAAAGAAATTCTCATGCCTTTGAATGCCAATATTCAAGAGATTTCTTTTCCGTAAAGCAAGAATTTAGGGTACTCATGTGCGAACTGAGTTCGTCAGGCTTGTGCCCTATTTTATAAGCTTATGAACCCTTCAGCAATATAAAGTATAAAGAGAGTCTCCAGAATATTAACTGTAAATGGAAAATATATTTTCACATATATATAAAATATTACATGAAGCAATGAAAGTAAGATGCACCAGTTCTCGAAGCTGCTGTAGTACGTTTAAGAATTTAAGACACCATTAAAATGTAATTTCCAGTTTATAAAGAATTTACTTCTATCGAACTGCTGCAGTTTTTTAATGGTGACATTTCCATTTATGGACAACTGATTGATTATTATTTATAGAGAAAATTAATTAGAGAGTACTTACCTTACCCAATAGCGCATTTGAAAGTACTAACGAGTATATGAATGACTGATAGTACAAGGCAAAAGCAGCTTACCTGGTTGACCATTTCATAATGCGACTGACGTCAAAGATGGAAAAAATGATAAGGAAGAAAGTGTTCCATAACCCCACACATGCGTACATGGCGTGAAAGTTTAACTGGAAGTCCTGACATATATTGAAGATCACTGTAGAGAAAAGAGAGTGAATAATGTTATAGATATTTCCCATTACTTACCTTAGTTATTTAGAAATTATGAACTACACAACAATAATTTTAGGTAGCACCAATTTATAGTATCAGAACAGCTAATGCAATTTATGAGACAGAAAAAAAAATGTATAAAATAGCTAAGAAACGAATTCTGGCATCCTTTACTAATATTAGTGATTATAATCAGTTGAATTTATTGACGAATTTATCCCAAATATTAATTTTAGAAAGATTCACACTAATTTATTTTAATTGAATCTCCGAATTTTATTGTTAAAATTATGGCATTTATTGAGTCAGCACAGATGAGTTACTGAAATACAATTGTAAGTTAAATTTGCTAACTTGGACTGTTTGTAATCCTGAACATCTTTAGGTAAAGAGCCATTAAATGCGAATAACACGAAATAATCAATAAACGTTTCGCACGCAAATAAAGAGCAACTGAATGAATTTATGCAAATTTTAGTGAGCAATACATAGTATTAAACTATCTGGATTTTAATGCGCTAAACGCATGCTTTTAAAAATACGTATTCTTATATTCATATGTAAAAATTAAAATTCTCTTAAGTAAATTTACAAGATTAAGAGAAAGGCTTCTAAATGATCCATGTCAAATAACTTCACGTGATAACGGCAAATCTGGTAATATGAAGAATGAGAACTTCATATTAGTATATTACTCCTTGTTCGTAAAGCATATTGCGACTGGTGACATCGAAGGGAAGGAGGGGACAATACAGTTGCAAACATAGGTAGTCTTGAAAATTCGAGACAGCTACAATCATTAGATTTGAAAGAAACAGTTGGTACGTTTTAGGATTATATAAAATTCGCATAATGCGATGATAAATCAAAGAATTTTCTAAGGAAATTTTATTTGCAAGGGAAGCTTCTATGAAAGTTAAATTACATTTTGATTTACGTTATTATTTACGCATGATAATTATAAAAAAAACGTATTCATCTAAAATATGGAGTAAATGATGGAGATAACTGCTTGTAAGTTGCGAAGAATAACTCAAATATTTAAAAAAAGTTCAAAAGTGCATAAGCAAGTATAGATATCCTAGATAAGTTTTGACATGTATCAAATTATGTGAAAGTATTTTATCATGTAAAAGTATAATTAGTATTTATATGTTATAATCAGCAATCAATTATCTAGTTACTATTAAATCTATGCGGTATGTTTTTTTCTTATGATGCATAAACTCAATGATAGAATTCTAGAGCGCTTCGTTTGCTTGACTTTCAGAAAATATTAATTATCACAATTTAGTTCGTAATGAAGATTTAGTCAATAGAGAGAAAAGATGTATGGTGAGACGATGCGTAGTCCTTTTTACTTTTATTCTACTTTAAATTTCTAGAATAATGATAATTCTCTAGACTATTGCTAAAATGACAGACACATTCTGAAAAACCTTTTTTAACACTCTAAACTGAATTTTTTAACATATCTATGAGGAGTGAATAGTATTTTAGATAGCAAACTATGAGTTATAGGTATCTTAATAAGTATAACTATTTTAATGTTATGATATTTATTAAGGATATTTCATCGATAGTATAAAATGAGCAATACATTTAACTGACATTTATTGAAAAAAAAGGAGAAGCTCCTAATAATCTGATATGAGGGGACAGATCTACAGTATCTTGAAATTTCTGTTTGGATTGTAGGATTGGAGATTCTTATTTTTAATGACTTAAAAGAGTCATTAAAAATAAGAAATAAGTGCAACAGTCATAAAAGAAAATAAAAATTCCTTTAACTGAAACTTGCAAAACAACCGGTTCTCTTATTAATAACTTTCTTTAATATAGAGCACATTATCCCACTCATGACCAGCTTGCTACTGAGGCAGTGCGAGACTGTTGAAAGATACTTTGATACCATCGCAGCCAAGTTCATCCATTCATACCTGTTCCGTAAATCTGCGACTGTTGTCATTATACTGCTCTTGGACTGTAAGTAAAATGAATTACCTGGGATGAAGTCCTGGTAAGAAAATATGCCTGAGCAAACGGCAGACATCCCAGTGGAGGAACTTAATCTCTCTTGTAGGTGCTTGAATTATGAACCAACGACGGACAAGGTATTTAGAGGGCAATCCTTGAGGACTTGAGCTGCCATTACGTATCTTACTCTACTATATATGCAAAAGATTTATTTCTACTGTCCAAAAATTTCATTTTCACCTTTCCTCGATGGTTTCCAAGCCGCTCTGTATTCTATGCTTTTAAGTAGATTAAAAGAAACACTGTTGTACATATATCCTCACAAAACGTTATAAGTTTCCATACGTAATTCAGACTAATGAAGGTTATAAATATTTGACTTCAACAAACATAAACAAGCTTGTAAAGTTAAAATGATACTAGTTGTCACTAAATATTTATTTTTTGTTTGAACGAATATATCTAATTTCAAATATTGAGGGGTCATAAAACCTTTTTTTTAAATCATTATCAGAAAGTAATTTTCGTTAGATCTCATTTAATCCTAAAGCAGTAAAATTTTTTCTAATAGATTAGGTAATTTTAAAGTCCATTTTATTCTTAAGCAAAAATAAGAGGAAATGATACGTTCTTATGCAAACAGAATAGTACTAATTTTTCTATAAGGAAAATGTGTAATTCCTGTTAAATAAAACCATTTTCATAACATTGATAGCAGTATATTCAGGAATGGAACCTCGGTAAGGGGGGCAAGGTGATCAAAACTCCCACTAGAATTTACTGGACAGTTCTGCTGGAGGATCTTGTTTTTCTAAGATTAACTGAATACCTATTCCATCAGTATTTTCAGTTAACTTTCATCAACTTGTGAGGAAAACGAAAATATTTGATCATTATTTTTATTCTTCATTTTTTTAAATGAAAAAAGCATTACGCATGTAACCGCTATATTAACTAAAATCGCAGTTTATTTTAAAATGAATACTCGCAATGAATAAATTTTACATAACAAACAAATTAATGTTTAATAACGAATATTGAACACATTTTTTCACAGCAGAGTTCTTGATAGTAATTTTTAAAGTGCTTTCATTTTCTTAAGAAACGATGTAAAGGAATTATTAATAAATTTATAAAATGATTTATCAGCTCTCAAACATTGGGTGATTAATTACTATATATGAAATATTGATAATCACATATATTTTATTTAACGTTATATTCGAAACATACATAACAGAGAATACAATAAAGACCTCAAACACCGTGCGCAGATAGCTAGTTGTGACAAACGTGTCTGCGTACTGTAAATGGATTATGTTGTGTCATATGAGAGTGGATGCATACAAAATAGAGGACAATTTTGGAATCCTATCACAAAACGTATGGGAGATTGCGGAAAAAAAAAAGTTAAAGCAAACGTATAAAACATTATCGATTTTGTAAGAAAGGACACTCTACATGGAACAGTATCTTGAATAAAAGACCTGAATTAATAAAGAGGACGTTTCTGTGCAGATCTGGCGCGCCGGTTTTATGTAGGACACTAAGTTTATACACCATGTATACACAAATGTCCAACCGACATTTAATTTTGCAATCGTTGGTTATCAGATATATAATTCCATTTACAAAAGTGTTTAAAATTATGGAAATACTCATGTTTTGGCACTTTTAAATTAAAAGATCGGCTTTATAAAAAGTACGATGGCATTTTAAACGGTTTCTAGTATATTTAAATGTAGGAAAATTTTCTACTGGTTATAAAAAATAAAATGCAAAATCGGTGACTTTAGTTCAGCGCCGTTTGATCGAGACATGAAATTTTAAAGTTTGAGATCGTATTCAGGAGCCGTATATAAATTGTTGAGGGAAATGTTTGTATTTGTACGTAACTAAATTAAAATATCAGCTTAGAAAATTGTTTCTAATGCTTGTAGTAGATTAGTTGACAAGCTTTTCTGTGCAATTTGCGTGAAAAGATTGATCAATATAATTTTTTTAAGATGGTATTCTCAGAATCTTACAGAATTCGTGATCTAGAAAACACTGTCTGGTACATAGTCAACATTATTTGCATAAAGTAAAAATTAAAGATATTATTAGTTTAAGGATTTTTTGTATGATTATGCGATTAAGATTTTAAAGTGATAAATCTTTACGAAACTATTAATAACATTTTTTAGCTTTCCCAAACTCATGAACTATTTGAATGCAGATTCTCTCGGCATACTAGTTTTAACAAAATTATAAATAAAGGAACATTACACACCAGCAAAACACAAAAGAATGCCAATGAATGATTTAAAGGAAAAAAATCAACCATAAATTATTCTAATTCTTTTTATTAACCTGTCTCTTAAGACAAGCTTCAAGAGACACCAAAAATTCCAAAATATAGAAATTAAATATCTGGATCTTGTTGTGAAATTAAATATCTTCATCGGTTTTTGTCACATAGTAATCAAACTTTTTGTGTTTTTATTTGTTATAATTATTATGTATTTTTCCTGTATGTAAATATGAAGACCGTATAAAACGTTAGATTTCATAATTTTGTGTTTTTTAATATAAACCGAGTTTTTTAAGTTTAAAAAGGCCAAAATAGAAACATTTGTAACATTAAAACATTTTTGATGTTAGAAGTATACGCCTTTGAGCAACGATTGCGAGACCATATAGGGAATGCATGGAAGAGATGTGTGTGAGTGTATATACCGACGGGAAAATAATCCCAACATCAAGGAAAAATTAACGTAGAGTAATAAAATTTCAGCAATACATTTGCAGAAAAGAAAATTGTGAAAACCCAAATATCCGAATTGTTAAAGTCAGGAATTAGAGTTCTTCGGAATATTCCAGCCCATTGTTCATCGTTAGAAAAAAAAAGACGGAACACCAAGAGTCTGCGTTGATTATCGTCGTTTAAACAAAGTTGTCGTGAAGGACAGATTTCCCTTTCCACGTGGACGTCGAAAGTACACATAATTTCTTACGCATGAAGGT